CGATGACCTCCACGAGGTGCCAGGCTTATCTGACAGTTGAAATGAGAAGCGATTTCCCAGTGAGGGGTAAGAGCAGCTAGGGCGGACTAGAAAATGGCCCGTCCTCAAACAAGCTTTAATGTCAAGTAATCTCATTTTGGGGGAAATTGTGTTATTGGGGAGGACATTGTGGTAAATATAAGGTGTGAGGCCTACATCATCTCTTCCCCTCGCTTTCCTTTATATTAAAGGTGGGGTAAGTGATTTCTGGTAGGGGATTTCCAATGTTGGAAGGATTTCCAATGTTGACATTTGAAATCACCAAAACAAACACGCCACTACCCCAAAAAGGGTCTCGCCCCTAAATAAAGAATTCAAAAGAAGTGCTGCACGGAGTATAGGGTTCTTATCTCGGTGCTCTTTGGGTGCAAGGGATGATTGAACTCGTAAGAATAATAGTAGTCCAAGGCACTCAAATCTTATTCAAAAAGTTTTAAAAAGCCTTTATTTCATCATGGCCATAAGTTTTAAAAACAGGTGACAAGTGCACACCTACGCGTTGCGGCTATTTTGCCTTCGTCAGGGTGTCTGCCCCTATTTTGATAGCTCCGCCCCGCACATACGTATGCAACCCAGGCAACGATTAGTTCTGTGAAACAAAGTAAAACCAATGTTACACCGTGTCTACACCGGGCGTGAGTGGTGCGGCGCGACAAAATACTATGGAACTCATTATAATCAGTGATGCTGTCTACACCATAGATATATATATATATATACATATCTATGGTCTACACTGGATGCGGCGTGGCACGACATGACAAATCCCCGACAAAAAACTGCTGCTGCGTTCTATTCATGACGTATTGTCACACATTTCAAATGATTTTCAACGGTCGCTTTGTCGCGTCCAGTGTACTAGACAGACTTTAGCTGTTGCGGTGCAGACACGGTGTTACTCACCTATCGAGAAGAAACAAAGCAACCTCGGCGTCCGATCGCAGGCCTTCCACTCCTTGAGTTCTCTCCAGCGCTGGAAAGCTGATCCGATATTTACACGGGTCCTACTTCTTGCCTTATTGCCTTAAGCCTTCTTTTGTTCCGCAGACGTTTTCCTCTTTTGTTTTTTTATCCGCCATCTCTCTATCTTTCTGTCACTCTGCTCAGACTGAACGCTCTCTCCTCCACATCATGAGTTGACACGCCCCTTACTGCTGATTGGTTACAAGTTTGTTTTGCTAGTCGGCCCGAATCAGTTTTCTAAAGCTTTTTTGAAAAATCGCTTACCCCACCTTTAAGGTGAAAGAGATATTCACACTTTAAAGTTGTCTGTTAATTTTATTTATTCATTTGCCCCATACTCTTAGATCTTAATGATATTGTATTAATATAATTTTATCACATTTTATTCATTTACCTTTTTATTATATTTATTTGTTATAATTAATTAATTTGTCCCTTAGATTGTAATATTTGATTCATTCATTCACCCCATACTCATAGATTTTAATAATCTTTTTTATTAATGGAATTTGGTTTATTATGTCTCATGCAATTTTTTTTACATTTATTATTATTAATAATTAATATCTCACCACATACTCTTATTTTATAATAATATTTTTTATTTATTTTCTATTAATATATTATTATTATTTATTTTTTAAATAATTAATCATTTGTTTCATACCTTAAAGAATCAAAATTGGAGTGAGGTTTATGTAAGTAAAGACCAAATAGTGCTTATGATGCTTTTTTGTCCATATTCATTGGAAAATATGAAAAACATTGTTTGTCTGAGAGGACTGCAAAAAAGAAAAAAAACGAGGACAAACCATGGATTACTAAGGGAATCGAGAAAGCGTGTAAAAAGAAAAATGCATTATACAGGAAATTTATAGTAACTAGAACCAAACAAGTGGAAAATAAATATAAGATATATAAAAATAAATTAATAAGCATTATAAGATTTAGTAAAAAGGACTATTATAATAAGTTATTGGACAAGCATAAGAATAACATACAAATAACATGGAAAGTACTTAATAGTATAATTAAAAAGAATACTGAAAAAGTAGATTACCCAACTTATTATGTTAATGATGATAAATTAAGTATAAATGAAATGATTGACATTATCAATGAATTTAATGAGTATTTTGTAAATATTGGGAACAATTTAGCAAAGGAGATTGTAGAGCAGAGTACTGGGGATAGGATAGGTGAAATGAATATTTCCAGTAATGATTACTCAATGTTTATTAGGGGAGTTGACGAAAAGGAAATACTTGACATTGTTAATAATTGTAAGAACAAATATTCCACCGATTCTAATGACATTGACATGTCGTTAATAAAAAATATTATAGAATATATAGTAAAACCATTTACACACATTTGTAATCAGTCCTTTTTAACAGGCATATTCCCTAGTAATATGAAAACAGCTAAAGTTATTCCTATTTTTAAAACTGGAGATCGGCATCTTTTTTCCAACTATAGACCAATTTCTCTTCTTTCCCAGTTCTCAAAAATTCTAGAGAAAATATTTGTGCGCAGGCTTGATAATTTTATAGACAAACATGAATTATTAAGTGATCATCAGTATGGCTTTAGAACAAACAGGTCGACCTCAATGGCTGTGATGGAACTGGTAGAAGAGATTTCTTCTTCAATGGAAAATAAGGAATATACTGTGGGGGTGTTCCTGGATTTAAAAAAATATTTATTTAGTGAAAAGTTGTCTGTGAGGACCGAAATAAAAAATGATTGATTGAAATGATTGATTGATTGATACCTTTGGATCATTGGTCCTTTCCCCCCTTTTAGAGCATGAAAATAATACAGATGGAACGACATGATACATCCCCAGCCAACATTTGTGTGTGGGGCCCATGTGGGTTTGACATGGGCTGAAAAAGTGGGCCCAAAATGGGATTGTCCGCGGGTTCCATAATGGCCCAATGTCAATTGCCCACATGGATTTCATGTGGGATTGTACTTGACAACAGGTGGGCCCCAACTGGGCAACATGCGCAAGACCCATCTTGGCCCCAGCTTTATTTTTTATGTGGGTACTACAAGGTTACTACATGGGCTGAAATATGGGTTGTAAGTGGGTTTGTCCACGGGTTCCATGTTGGCCCCGTGCAACATACCCATGTAGGTTTTATGCAGGATTTCCCTGGGCTTTAGGTGGGGCCCAACTGGGGATGATATGCAAAACCCATCTGGGTCCCATCTAAATATGGGTTGTAAGTGGGTTTGTCCACGGGTTCCATGTTGGCCCTGTGCAACTTACCCATGTGGGTTTTATGCAGGATTTCACTGGGTTTTAGGTGGGGCCCAACTAGGGATCATATGCAAAACCTATCTGGGTGTTAGGGTGGGCCCAACAAGACAATATGCTTAAAGCCCACCTGAAAATAAAAATTGTTTTCAACACCACACAATTTTTTTAAAGCATTAG